TAGTCAGCTATTTGATCCAGTTTAGGTGGAAATTTTTTTTATAACGAAAGGTAAAAAGGTAATCGAATGTCCTCGCCAGGTCTCGAACCTGGGACCTTCTGCGTGTTAAGCAGATGTGATAACCACTACACTACGAGGACACTTGAGTTGATCAGCACTAATGAGCTTTTTAAACGCAATTTACATCTTAAACCAGATTCAAGTTGTTTGGCGATAATTTATATCCGAATGCACTTTATGGTTTATTTATTACCTAATCTTGTATTTATTTCAATGTAACTTGTTTTTATCAGCTTTTTCATGTTCAGTCTCTGAACTTTTTTTTTCTCTCTCTCTGTCCAAATGTACTTTTATTTTATTTTCATGAAGTCTGATTGCTATCTCAATCTGTATCGGTAGCTTTTTGTATGTAAAAACCGGTCAATTTAACCTTCTTTTGAAAGCCTCTGTTTAATTAATATAGATGTGGACATTGGTATACAATTAGTTTTGGGGATTTTGATTTGTTAATCTTTGTAAAGATCATTGATCAGGTTAGCTTGATGATGGTGAAGAGGAAGAGAAGGTGAAATGTTTGTTCATCACTTTAAATGCTATCATTTTGATGGTGACTATTCCAAGGACTAAACTAGTTTATTGAGCTTTGACAGATACAAATTAAATGAAAATGAAGAGAAGAAGAAGAAAGATGATTAGATGTATAAAAGATGAAAGTAAAAGTAATAAAAGCGAATGAGAAGAAAGAGAAAGGAGGTAAGAAGATAAATGCATATTTTACTTTCAAGAACAGGTAACATGAAGCTACAGATATAATACATTTGGCCGTTTATTTTATCCCAATTATTTATCTGTATTAAGACCTGAGACCCTGGTTATTATCCGTATGAATGATGATGATGTGGATGATAATGAAACAGGTAATATGAAAATATTTGCCAGATAATTGAGTGTTTCAAGAGAAGGTCATTCGGGTGGAGTTTTGCTAGGAAATTTTGTTTCTTCAAAAGTTTCAATCAAAATTCAAGTGTTCGAATCTAAATTGCGAGCAAACAAAATTAGAATAAAATGTTCAAACTAAATTGTTCACACGAGCAAATCAATGTAAACCAGCAAAAATTAAAAGTCCCATTGCTTTAGGGGCAGGTTGCACTCGATTGATTGATTAACACGGATTAAATTTTTTCCCAAGCAATCATTGTAATGCTAATGATAAAGCAACTCTGCTGAAGACAAAAACTGGAACAAAATTTAACCTCAAGTTGCAAATTTTTGGTTCACCATTTTGCCTTTTCTCACTTTTTACTTTTTTATGTAAATCTGGTTTTTAAATTGTTAATATCATTAGAAGGTGATTCTTACCTCGTCCGCAATGTACATTACGAGGCCAATCACAGGTTTGAAGTTCAGATGAAAAGTAAAGTCCACCGGTACAGACTTCGTGAAGAGCTTCACCAAAAACACAAACAAAATACTTGGTGCAATCGGAATTATCGACGTAATAGCCGAATTGCTCTGGACAGGTGAATAATAAGGATCCATTGGATGATGTTGATGGTGATGAAGGTGAAGCTGATGTCGAGGATGATGAAGAAGATGATGAGGGTGATGATTTGAATGGAGAGGAATCACTTGGATCACTGTTTAAAGATGAGACAACAACTAACGTTAAGATTGATAAAAGGCACGATTGAGAAACAATTAGTTTAAACATTATTTCAATGTTAAATTGGTTGACAATACCAATTGATTGAAATGTTTAAGAGAAGATTTGTTGACCACAATTTATAGCACAATTGATCAATTGTTAAAATGTAAAACAGTTTCAGTTAATTCCGTTGGTTGCTTAGATTTTTTTTTGGGTTTATAACTGTATACACATCATCTTTTACCGGTACTATTTACAATGGTATTACTAGACTTGAAATGGTTACACTTGCAGGTTGATTTAGGCAATGATGATGATTGGGTTAACGATGTCATTTCCATTTACTGATCACTGAATTAAATTAACAATTAATTGAATCGGGAACAAAAGTAATCACATCGTTGCATGGTGTTGATGTTTGAAGATTGAACTGTTGGTAAGCTTTTTTTTAAGCCGAGTCAACTGTTGATCAACTATAAAATGAAATCATTCGTTTCGAGAGTAAATCCCAAATGAACTGACTAACGATCTTACGCTCCTTTCGACTGTTCAAACTCCCAATTCAACTGTTCAAACAAGTTTGGTCCTTTTTTTCATCATTTATAAAAAAACGTAACTAAAACTAGTTGAAGCGATTTTGAAGGGAAAATTTTCGCTCTTTTATTAAAGCTTTTGGGTTTTGATAATGTAATGCCATCTATCAGTCAATGAATAAACTTTTAGTCTTCATTTTGTTCATCTTCATCATTGAGCAGCATTAGTCGATTTGCCTCTTTTTATTATTGTTATTCTTGCTAACCTTTATCAGGTTTTTGGTTAATTAATAATGTGAATTAATTATTTTAATTTTTTATTCAACTGATTCTGGGTGTATTATATAACAGTGAACCCTAAGAAAGGGTAAAAATAGAGAAACTAAAAGCTTTCTCTTGGTTTTTTTCTTCATCTCCATCTTTAAAATAATCACAGCAAAACAACAACAACAACAACAGTAACAGCAGCAACAACAACATTACCAAACCATCATCACCCTTTTTGTCATCATTCTCATTTAATCAAAATGTCAAATTTAACTGATATTAAGTGTTTGTGTAAAAATTTACCGACCTGTGGAACCGATGAATCATGTATAACGGATGGTATGTGTTATACATCGGCCCAAATGAGTAAAGATGGTTCAATAAGCTATGAATTTGGGTAAGTAGTGTTTGCTATATTTGTTTATTTGAAGAACCATGAAAAAAAAGAAAAATGTTATGATGGCAAACAAAATTCTATGTCTAGCTGTATACCTTCAAATAAGTTGGTGCCTCCTGAAAATCCAATGAAATGTCTACACTCGGAGCTAACTAAGGTTCGCTTTGCCATTAAATGCTGCCGTGAACGTGATTTCTGTAATCGTGAATCTAGACCAACTCTCGCAGCAGCATTTTTGCGAGGTAAGAAATTTTAACACACAGTTAATTAATAAGAATCTTTTCTTTTCTTTCTTTCTCTCCCTTACTTGTATTATCTTCATGTTCCAACCTGTCCAATATACACAACAAAACAAAAATACTGTACAAAATTACACTATATATATATGTGCATATTTATTCACATATACATTCATGTATATTCACAATCACTTATCTATTTATCCTTCAAAAACAATATCACTCCATCAATCCGTCTCTCCGTATCGCTTTTTTCGTCCTCTTCTCTCTCCATATCTGTCCCCCTCTTTCGTCCTTTTATTTTCTTCTTCTTCCTTCTATTCTTTCACTCTCTCTCTCTCTCTCAACCCTTTTCTATCAACACTCTTTCGATTGTTGATCATAGTTGCGTGGCCTACAATAAGCTATTTCCACCAGATAAACCTTTTTGGTGTGAGAAAGTAGTTGGTACACAACCTGAGTATCCTCGTCAAATAGAATGCTGCAAAAATATAGAATATTGTAATCGTAATCTACAGCCTACTCTACAGCATAACCCAGCTCTGCCTTCAACATTACAAGGTGGGTTCTCTCATAGCACACACTGAAACTGATGATATTAATTGCAAATTTATACTTGGAACAAAAATATATTTATAAAAACGCATCTTTGTTTGACTCTTTTCTCATCTTTCCTTAACAATTTTTTGAGACTCACACATTCACATAAACACAGATAGACAAGCCTTGACAACGACCCCCTTTAATTCACATCAACTCATCAATCTTTCTCATTTTTCATCACTTTTCTCATCAGCCCCTTTCAATATAATTTCAATCTAGCTTTTATTCTCATTCTTTTATCATGAAAACAAAAACAAGGCTCATTCAATGATTTATAGTCACTGTCTATGCAAGATAATTATGGCATTAATCTTTTAATTCAGTGAACACATGATTTACTTATGACTCTAAACCTTAGGTCAGCCAGCACTATTCAAAGTGAACCAATTTATTTCAACTATTGTTGATTATTGATTAACGAGTTTGAAAACACTTTTTCTTAACCTTTTTTTGCTTCTTTTTACCTCTTTTTTCCCACTTTCTTCTCTTTCCACTCTTTCTTCCTTCTCTTTCTCTTTCTCTTTTCTAATCTTACTTTCGTTTTTTCCTTCTCTTGAAACATTCAACATTCCGACCACCAATGTATAACATTTTGCATGAAACAGCCATACTAACAATCCTTTGAAATGTGCATTTTGATTCCTCCATTTTTTCAACTATCAGTTCCAATCCTTTTTAGTCCAATATTTCCTTCTTTTCCATATTTCCTTTTATTGCCTCGGTTGGATCAACTCTTTAACTATTTCATTTACAAAAGATACTTTTCTTCTTGTTCTTATTATATTCAAGAAGAAAAGTTAAATTATAATATTCGACTTTCAAGAAAAAACCAGAAAAAACTCAAAATTATCTTCCTTCTTGTTCTTTATTTGTTCGCTTTTTTCTCTTTCTCTGTTGTTCTTCAATGTTTATTCAGATTCTCAGCTTTCACTGGATGTTTTCAAAATCGTCCTAATGATTGCGATACCTTGTATCTTTGTGTTAACTCTTGTGAGTGTATATTTTGTCCGTAAACGTACCCGGGATCAGAAAACATGGCGATATCGTTCTGATCCTGATGGCAGCTTAACTTCGGGTGAACCTCTCATTCAATCACAAGGCAGCTCAATCAAAGATCTCATTGAAAATACCAGTTCAGGGTCAGGATCAGGTAATTGATTTACACATTTATATTTAGCTGTAACAATCTCATGAAGGGAATAAAAACTTCAACTTACTTCATTTCTGTCTGAAAATAAATTATCAGGCCTTCCATTGCTGGTCCAGCGTACTATTGCCCGCCAAATTCAACTTGTCGAGAGTATCGGTAAAGGTCGGTATGGTGAAGTGTGGAAAGGACAATGGCGAGGTGAATCAGTGGCAGTTAAAATATTTTCATCTCGAGATGAACGATCATGGTTTCGTGAAGTTGAAATTTATCAAACAATTATGTTACGACATGATAACATTCTTGGTTTTATTGCAGCTGACAACAAAGGTAACAATATTGCGTTTTATTATTTTGAGTCTTTAATAATAACAACTCAGAATCATTAGATTTCTTCAAAATACAAATTAATAAATTGTTCATAATTACTAATAATTTTGTTGTTTCTTTTCATTCAATCAGACAATGGTACTTGGACACAGCTTTGGCTTGTTACTGATTATCATGAAAATGGGTCTTTGTACGACTATTTGTATAAAAATACCGTCGATGCTGCCGGTGTCGCTCGTATGGCCTATTCTATTGCCAATGGCCTTTCTCATTTACACATGGAAATACAAGGAACTCAGCACACTTTGCGAAAAACTGAGCAAGGAAAACCGGCAATTGCCCATCGAGATCTCAAAAGTAAAAACATCCTTGTTAAATCAAACGGAACTTGTGCTATTGCCGATCTTGGGTTAGCTGTAAGATATGATTCGGACAATGATTCGGTCGATATTCCACCAAATCCTCGAGTTGGTACTAAACGCTATTTAGCTCCCGAAGTTCTCGATGAAACAATGAATCCAAATCAATTTGATGCGTATAAAAGAGCCGACATTTACGCACTTGGACTTGTCTTTTGGGAAATCTCGCGGAGATGTAATATTGATGGTAAGAAAATGATTTCAACCAAAATTTATTATTTTTTTCTTAGACACTTTACAATACCATTTAAAACTAATCTCTTTGTATTTTATTTCCAGGTGTTTACGAAGATTATCAATTACCCTATTATGATATGGTGCCTTCTGATCCATCTATTGAAGAAATGCGAAAAGTGGTTTGCATTGATAAGGCTAGGCCAGCAATTCCGATAAGATGGCAATATAATGAGGTTAGTTAACTTGAGACAATTTTTTCATGTTTCCATGTTTCATTGAATAAGATTCACTGATAATCAAAGCTCTTTAGATAGAAATATTTCAATGTTAATTGTTTTTTCTTCTCTAATAATCTATTCTTAATTACAGACTCTGCGTGTGATGTCTCGTCTAATGAAAGAGTGTTGGTATGCCAATGCTGCAGCTAGATTAACAGCTTTAAGAGTAAAGAAAAGTATTGCTGCTATTGATGCTCAAGAGGATCTCAGAATGAACGTGTGAAGTGACCAAAATCACCACAAAATTAATTTTAGAGAAGGAAAAGGTGCACGAACTTATATAAAATGTACAGTTCAAGGTGTAGTTATCATCATTGATCAGAATTTGTGCGCCCATTTCATTTCTCTTCGGTTTTCAATCAACTCTGGACATAAATCAACTTAACGTGGACTCCCTGAATCCGAAAATGTAAAATTTCGCATAAATATTGCTATATATTTATAAATATTTACTTTTTACCTTGTGTTCACAACTCATGGAGAGATGGAAACACGAAAAAAAAACAAAAGGAGAAAAGAGAAAAGGAAAGGAATGCATTTGATGACAATTGATCATCACAAAGAGAGACAAATGTTATGGATGGTGAATCGAGAGTTAATAATCAACAAATATACACTTGATGAATTCCATACAAAAAATCCAATTGAATGGCAAGAAGAACATGAAAAATTTTTGTTAATCAATTTTATTATTAACTTTCCTCCCTATGATTGTGACTTCTGCTTTACAAGGACGGGTTATACTGCTGTTTTACCTCAAAACTCTCACAACTCTTTTTTTCTGACTCCAGGAAAACCTTAAACCAATCATGTTGATGTAAATCTTTGATTTCATTGCTACTGTTTCTCATCATCCACCAATCTCACTGCGAACAATTAATTACTGGTAACTTAGCCTGTTGGTCAAATTTACTCCCCACCTAGAATCACATCAATTCCTTGCTGGATCATTTCTTTCTCTTTGCGCTCCTATGTAAATATTTTTGGATTACTTCGTCACTTTCATCATCATCTTTTCTCAACATTATTCTCATCTGTATAAATAATTGTCACCTCTCATCGTCATGGGTTTCATCTAATCACAGGATATCATCAACATCTAACGCCTGGACATTTACGTGTAGACAAAGCTTAAAGCAAGAACCGATCATTTTTTGGGATCGTTAAAACCAATCAAAGATATGTTTGATAAGACAAAGAAATTTTGGAAATTTTTGAGGCATTTATGAAGAAAAGACATTTGAGCAATACCCATCTTGGCGAAAATACACTGCAGAGAAACCATTCGATTTTGGTTCGGTTTCTCAAGGAAGAGTTAGATCGCAATTTCTCCGACTATTTGGTTCATAATTGGAAGATTAGACAGAAACGTAGAAGACACCAAACAATTTTCTTATTTTGATCAACATCTTTACAATTTATTATTGCTTCTACCATTTGTATAATTCAATGATTATTTTTGTTTTGCAGATTAAGTATTCTTTAGCGGCTAAGCTTTTGACTTGTTTTTGCTGGGATAACCTTTGCTCAACGAATACCAGATTGTTTGGAAGAGAAAAAATGAAAGAAAATCATCTTTTGATTATTTTCCCAGCGAACTGCTTGGCTTTAAAAGTCTCAATCAAGTTATTTACTAAAACAAAAAGACACGAAAATGTACAAAACATTTTCAAATCTATCTCTATTTTTGTCTTTCTAATTTCATCTTTACGTTGTTAAATCAAATCAATGATGACACGAAGGGAAGCTCATCTGATTTGCTATTTTAAATCGCAATTTGTCTGCAGTTTCTATCTCAATCATGAAAAAAGACAAAAAAAATGTTTATTATTATTAAATTTGTTTCTCTTTTTCTCAATCCTTTTGACTATTTGATCCTAATTCACTTGTTTTGTAATAATAAACAGTAAATTTGATTAAAAAGACGTGTTATTATTTTACTGATCGCCTACATGCAATATCTCTGAGAGTCGCAGAAATTTCGATCACACAATGTAAGAATCAATTTAAATTTAATATTCATAATTCATCAAGTTTTATTTGTAAAATGATATCATGATTATTGACAGGTGATGAATAATTTAAGATAAGTTTGATACACAAAAAATAAATAAGAAAGAGTCAAACTATTAATCGACTAGTTTTAAGTTTAAGATTAAGTTATTGTATAATTTTATAGTCCTATTAATTATTTTGTTTTTGGTGAATTAAGATTGTAATCTCTTTTAGACGGGAAGTCTTTTCCATTACCAGGCAGTTTTGAGTAAATTATGGGCGAAATAAAGGTTAATATCCATCTCGAGCCGAAAGTTTGTTCAACATTTGATCTCCAATTACCAAGATCGAAATCTGTGATTGATTTAGCCCTTTCATGTACAGTTTGATTGGCTATGACCATTGAGCCGTGGTAGAAAACAAGACCGGTGGTAAATAGAAAAGCTGCGATATTGATGATTGAAATTAAACAGCACATTGTTGAGTACCAGTGGAGTAGACCGAAAAGCCAAAAGATAAACGGAAAAGTATGAGACATAAAGTTGTAAAATGTAAAACCACCAAGAAGATCCCAAATGAAAAACATGTTCAAAATCGATACATATAAAGATCCAATGGAAATGTAAAATATTAACGCAAGGAAATAACGATAATTGTCATAACCAATACAAGCTCGAGCAAAGGTACAATGATGGTCTCGTTTAAGAATACAGACACCGCAAGATGAACAGTGGTATGATCTTGGTGGTAAGTAAGTTTCACAGGTAAAACAGTAGCGCTGATTGTTTGCTGAAGATGTTTTTGATGAGAAGGATGATGATGGCTGATTGCTGAATAGCAACAATTTTCCTTTAATGGTGCTTTGGTGACGAATAATTTGTACAAAATTGCCTAAAATATTGTGCAAAATGAAAAATCCAGTAATATAATGAATAACTGGTCCAGCTGATGAATGGAAATCTTTTGAGTAAATTTTAGGTACAACAATGGACGTTTCGAAGATGAAGGTACCAAGTACTGCTACAAAGAAGAATACAAAGGCCAAATCATCCCAATTACGACTTTTATACTGAACTGGTCCAGAGATCGCTTTAGAGGTTGCTGCGTAAGAACCTGGTAAAGGCGATGACAGTCCAGCAAATGAAGAATCATTTTTCCGTGATTTACTTTTAATCTTCATTGACTTGTACTTTTAAAACAGCTTACATCCAAGAGAAAATTCAAAACAAATATTGTTACATAGTAATAACAATCAACACAAATGCAAAGTATAAAATGAAAAAAATAACTGATTGTAGTTGTGTATCTGGATAGGACCAAGTCGAGAAAATCGATAAGCTTCAATGAGGTGATCACATTAGGAAAAGAAACAATGGATTGTGTCGATCAGGATAGAAGATAGTATAGATGATATGCTGAGCTATCATTAAGGAAAAGGCAACTATGAATCAATTTTAATCAATGTTCGATGATATTTATGCTAATTAACCAAAGAACAATATCTTTTTGTTTTTAAAATCAACTTCCAATATAGCCTAGTTACCAGATTTAGGTAGCGAATTGAAATAAGGAGCGAAATTTAAAAACCGCAACCCATCCATGAATAAGCATTTTTTGCTGCTGATAAATAATTTGCAAATCGATACAAATTATCAGTAACTTGATCTTTAAAATTAATTGTTTAACCTTTAATGAGCCTCTATTGATTATATCATTTTAATTGTGCTAATCGACTCGAATATCTAATAGGTTATGAGTGACTAGGAATATTTATTGATTCAAGGAGGAATAAAAATTTAGACAATTAGTCAATTGGGTGTCACTTTATTCCAGTAAAACAATGATTCAAAAGTAAATAGTATAAATTGAGGAAAAAAAGATGATATTTGAATAACATGTTTACATCTTTTTCTGTCATCCAGATAATAATTTGTCAACAGTTTGACACATTACAAACACATTTGTATAAACTGTATAAACAAACTCTAAATGAAATGACTAAATGACAAATAATTAATCATTTTTGGAAACTTCTGGCTTCTCTGGAGCAGAAATTGGTTGATTGTTACCATCTTTAGCAGTTTGCTCAGTTATTGATGATGTTGATCCTGTTTCTGGTTGTGTGACAATTACTGGATTAGATGACAGGTTGGAGGTCAATGTAATTGGTATAATTTTGTCTCCATTAGCACCTCCAAGCCGCTTTCTTGGAGCTTTAACAGTCAAGATGCCATCAAGACCCAATTGTGATTCAATTTTCTGCGTATCATAACTGTCTGGGATCAAATAGCGCCGAGTAAAAGATCGAGCCACAAATCCATCTCCATCTGATTTTTCCTCGTGTTTAGCCTCAATGATCAGGGTATTTGTAGCAATCAATTTAACATTGATCTCCTCAGGCTTGAAATATTGAACATCAATTTTCACTTCATAAGCATCACCATTAGATGAAGAAGCAGATGAAGGTCCAGCAACATGAGCAGCAGCCGATGTTTGATTATTTGAAGATGAAGCTGAACAAGCCGCAGTTGCGGCTGAATCACAATTTTGATTTAAATGTTCAGCAATACGTTGGATTTCTTCGAAAACTTGACTTGCTTGATTCCAAATGTTTCGATTATGCATACCAAAGCCAAAAGGGTTCATCATTATTGGAGGAATATGAATAGAAGCTACGCGTCGAGGGCAAGTCATTTTGAATTGTTGTTGGAGGTTGAGATGACAAGTAGTTTTAACTGTAGTAACAAAGTAAAGATTGCTTGGAAAGATTCACAAATTTTAAATCAGTCGGATAGCTTGAACTTATCGAAGTTGTTTTCAGTAATGATTGGTTGGTTGAAAAAACTCACTTTATATGATGGAAATTAAGAATCCTCTAGAATTAAAATGACTTAAAATTTTATGATAATTTCATGTTGTTACGGTGATGGGAGCTAATAATAACTAAAGTTTCATCTAGAATTCACCTGAATATTCCAATTACTCATTTGTTTAAATGTCTTTTGATGCAAGACCGTTGATCAAATTTCACTATCATGTCTATTGGATTCATAGCATGCAATAATGAATTGATACCAATGTCATTACCTCGTCATTGATTGCGGATGAAAATTTAAACGAAATAGGAAGATTTTATTTCATCATTATTTTCTTAAAAAATCTTGATACATTTAATCAGAAAACAGAAGAAATACAAGTTCATGAGATTTACTGACTCAAAAAATGGACTAGTACCAAATAATTCGGACAATAGCTTTGATTTTCTAGTGCGTCCTAGAACGTTCAACATATATTTGTTTTGAATTTTGACTTCTGTGTTGATTACTAAAACGTTTAGTAAAAGATCGATAAATTTACCGAATATTTGTCGGCTAAAGAATATAAAACGTAGGCCTTGAATGTAATTTCATTGTTTCTACTCAAAAGTTTAAGCAAATCGATATTGAATTATTCCATATGAAACAATTAGCCTAGTATATGATTGGTAAGTGTAATAGGAGATGACAATGATGAGTAGGTTAACATAAAGTCTTTGAAAATGGAAATATTTCACAGTATTTATAGTTCAATACAATTTAGGGTTTATTTCTTTCCAAGTAATTGTATGAAAACTGAGGCTACATTGAAAGTTTGTAAAAATTCATCTGCTCCTTCAAGAAGTCGGTAATCAGCTAAAGCTAATGCTTCAATTAATTCACTAATCTGTTCATCAGTTAATAAACAATTCTCACCAAGAACCCAATCATGAAGTTGATTAAGTAATTGAGCTCCTGAAAAACCTTCAGCAACCATACTATTAAGAACATCTTCAACATTCTCGTAAGATTGTTTTTGGCAAGCTTCGACAAACATATCTATCCAATTCTCTGGTATATAACCTGTCACTTCTCGTACATCATTTATTGTCAATATTTCATCTCCTTTTAAACGATATGCTGTTTGTAAAAATGTTATCGCTTTACGTAAATCTCCACCAGATACTTTTATCAATTCTGTTAGAACAACATCATTTTCCAATGAAATATTTTCACTATTGCAAATTGTTGCCAACTTTTCCATAACTAAATCTTGTTGTAACGGCTTAAATCTAAACTTAGAACATCTGGAAACTATTGGATCGATAATTCTGCTGATATAATTACATATAATACAAAAACGCGTTGATTTTGTTTCCTTTTCCATTATTCGTCTCAAGCAGGCTTGAGCAGATTGAGTCATAGAATCAGCTTCATCCAATACTATTATCTTGAATGGTGGATACTTATTTCCATTTTCACTTCGACTTACAGTTTGTTGAGCAAAACGTTTAACCTTTTCTCTAATAACAGCAATACCTCTTTCGTCGGAAGCGTTCAATTCTAGAATTTATAAAGAAAAATGAAAAAATTAATACATGCACAAGGATAAAAATAAATAAATTGATAATCTTACCTAATACTCTCGATGAAAACTGATCTTGAAACATTTCTCGAGCTAATGCTAAAATTGTTGATGTTTTACCAGTACCTGGTGGGCCATAGAACAATAAATTTGGAAAGTCGTCTCCTTTTAAACATTGTTTAAGGACATTAACAGCTTCTTCTTGATAAACAACTTCATCGATATTTTTTGGACGATATTTTTCAACCCAAGGTACCATAACACGTTTCACTTCTTGTGACATCTTGTTATTCTTGTACTATGTTGATAACACTCAAATACCGATAACAAATGTTATAATTAAAAAATTAAGAAATCAACACTTTTAAATAATATTAAAATTGAAAAACAAAACAAGCAGCTTGTTAGCATAAGTAAAAGCTGTTTAAGCTTGGAAATGTGAAAGATGGCGCGAATTGTGTATCCAGTATTTTCTAAAATGAGAAAGCTAGCTGATTATTCGTCCATTGCTGACCGGTAAGTATCAACCTTTTGGTTCACGACTGATTGTTGTAAAGTTCTTATAGGTGACTGAAATCTCATGAATGTTAATGAATTTAATTAATAAAAACTTTCTGTAAAAGTATAAA